TAATCCCAGCTACTCGGGAGGCTGAATTAGGAGAATCGCTTGAACCTGGGAGGCAGAGGTTGCAGTGAGCTGAGATCAAATGATTCCACTCCAGCAGGCTGGGCGACAAGAGTGAAAAAAAGAAAAAAAAAAAAAAAGAATTGATAGTAGTTTAATTGAAGAAAAAAGAAGCTCAACGTATATATTTTTTTAAGGGATTAGGCCTCTCACTGTTGGCCAGGCTGGAGAGTAGTGGCATGGTCTTGGCTCACTGAGGCCTCAATTTCCTGGGCTCAGGCGATTATTCTGCCTCAGCCTCCTGAGTAGCTAGGACTACAGGTATGCACCACCATGCCCAGCTAATTTTTAAAATTTCTTGTAGAGACAGGGTCTTGCTATGTTGTCTAAGCTGGTTTCAAACTCTTGGCCCCAAGTGATCCTTCTGTCTTGGCCTCCCAGAGTGCTGGGAGTACAGGCATGAGCCACTGCACCTGGCCCGGATCGTTTTTCTTTTTCTTTCTTTCTTTTTTTACAAAGATGTGAAAGTAAATCAGTGGAGGAAGTATGGTCTTTTCAACAAATGATAGAGGAACAACAGGCAAAAATATGTACCTCAACCTAAACCTTGTACTTTGTAAAAATTAACTCAAATTCCGCTGGGTTGGTGGCTCACGCCTGTAATCCCAACACTTTGAGAAACCAAGGCAGGGGGATCCCCTGAGTTCAGGAATGCGAGACTAGCCCGGCCAACATGGTGAAACCCTGTCTTTACTAAAAATACGAAAATTAGCCAGGTGTGGTGGCGGGCACCTGTAATCCCAGCTAGTCAGGAGGCAGAGATGGGAAAATTGCTTGGGAGGCAGAGGTTGCAGTGAGCAGAGATCGTGCCACTGCACTCCAGCCTGGGTGACAGAAGTGAGACTCTATCTCAAAAAAAAAAAAAAGAAAAAAAAACTCAAATTGCTTTATGGATCTAAACGTAAAATGTGAAACTATAACTCTTTTAGAAGAGCGCATAGGATAAAATTGTGACCTAGGCTTGGGTGAACAATTCTTAGTCACAAAAATCATGATCCATAAAGAAAAAAAATGGATGAGTCGTTTTTTATCAAAATTTAAAACTTCTTTTTAATAAAACATTAAAAAGGATGAAAAAAAAGTCAAATAATTTTCTTGACTAGGAGAAAATATTTTATGAGGCATATACATAGAATATATAAAGACTTCCCCAAACCTATCAGTTAGAAAGCAAATAATCCAATTAGAAAATGGGCAATGGGGCCAGGCATGGTGGCTCATGCCTGTAATCCCACTACTTTGGGAGGCCGAGGCAAGAGGATTGCTTGAGGCCAGGAGTTCGAGACTAGCCTGGGCAACATAGTGAGATCCAATCTCTTCAAAAAGTTTAAAAAATTAGCGGGTGTGGTGGCGTGTGCCTGTAGTCCCAGCTAGTCAGGAGGATGAGGTAGGAGGATTGCTTGAGCCTGGGAGATTGAGGGTCCAGTGAGCCATGTTTATGCCAGGGCACTTCAGCCTGGGCAGCAGAATGAGACCTCAATCTCAAAATAAATAAACGACTTTTTGGACTTTTTTTTTTTTTTAACCAATAAAATATAGAGTAGTAGTATATTTATTTGGGATATGTTAATTTTTATAAATAGTCAAAAGGTACAAATGAGTACACAGTGCAAATTGCATCTCCAGTTCTCTCTCTGTAGGCAACCACTGTTGCCAGTTTGTTGTACATCTTGGGTCTCATTCCACAGTTTTCCATGGGCTGCAATGTTTGTTACTAATACTGTTACTGTACTACAGCGGATTTTTTGTAAAGTCATTCATCACAGGCAGGATGATAACCAGGGCCACGAGGAGGCACCTCCTTTTTGGTACCCTATGATGGGTTTGA